GCCGATTATTCTTAGGTCCGATTTTCGAACGAAAAATCGTTAGAAAATCAACCCATGTATACATAACTTATTGAGATGAGAACAAAATACACCTGTTAGTAAAAATACAAAGGCATGGGACACACCCCCTGCCACGCCCCTTATTATTACCAAAATAATGATTAGTTAAACCCACAAGTGCTTTTTTTTTTTTACTACTATTATTCCTATATATTGGCTTTTGAAATTCACAAATGCAGCAATTCAGAAATTGGATGAAATATTTAGCACTGGGAGACACTTTTTGAAAGATAAAAAGAGCATTTTATATACAACTATACAGATCAGACCAAAATGAGGGACAAATGAGGAGCAATGAGGGACAGTCCCTCGAAATCAAGGACAGTCGGGAGCTATGTGAATACATAAGTCCTGATGCAAGCGTTGGAATGAGAAATGCGGAGAAATACGAACACAGCTGATCACATGACAAGGTAAAAGGCCAATCACAGCGTCCTTTTTACCATATGATCCAATGACACAGCTGATCACAAAGTAAATACAGCTGCCGATACCAGCAAGTGTCACAGAGGACATCTGCACTGATAATGAGGGCACTGATTATCTGTGCAGCCCCATCAGTGCCCAGCAGTGCCACCCATCAGTATCCATCAGTGCCTCCCATCAGTACCCACCCATCAGTGCCTCCCATCAGTACCCATCAGTGGCACCCATCAGTGCCGCCTATAAGTGCCCATCATTGCCACCTATCAGTGCCCATCAGTGCAGCATCATCAGTGCCCCCTCATCAATTCCCACCAGTGCCGGCTCATCAGTACAGCCTATCAGTGCCCATCAATACTGCCTATCAGTGTCGCCTCATCAGTGCCCATCATTGCTACCTCTCAGTGCCAATCAGTGCTACCTATCAGTGCCTATCAGTGCTGCCCATCAGTGCTGCCCCCATCAGTGCTGCCCATCAGTACAGCCTATCAGTGCCCATCAATACTGCCTATCAGTGTCGCCTCATCAGTGCCTATCATTGCTACCTATCAGTGCCTATCAGTGCTGCCCATCAATGCTGCCTATCAGCTCAGCCTCATCAACGCACATCAGTGAAGGCTAAAATTTACCTGTCTGCAAACTTTTATAACAGAAACAAAGAAAAACTTTTATAACTCGTTTATAGTGCAAAAATTAAAAAAAAAACACAGTGTTGATTTAATACCACCAAAAGAAAGCTCTGTTTGTGTGAAAAAAATGATAAAAATTTTGAACGGGTACAATGTTGCATGACCGTGCAATTGCCATTTAAAGTGCAACAGCGCTGAAAGCTGAAAATTGGCCTGGGCAGGAAGGGGGTAAAACTGGTTAATATTGTGCTGCCCCGAACCACATGGTACTGCAGCAACATGCAGTCTGGTGCACACAAAAGCGCATGGGTGAGTGTACCAATAGGAATTAATTCATGGCACTCTAAATTAATGGCGCACCCACATGTCTGCTAATGAGCAGCGCAGTTCTGTTTGGGTCAGGAAAGCACGTGATTTTGCACACATTCCTGACCCTCACAAGAGTGAACCTAGCCCAATTGCAATGAATGGGCTGCCCTATGCGCATAGTGCAAAATGCGCACAAAATGTGCATAAATGTGACACCCACCAACGCACGCTCCCCAAATCCTAGGTGTGAATGAGGCCTAAAACCCAGCCTTCATGACCCCTAAGCGAATGCCATCATATGTTAAATCAAAGTGACTTAATATTGTAAACATAAATGCAAATTAAAGTAAGTACAAAGTATCTAAAGTTTAATATTTTCGTATAATACCCCGGAGGTCTCCTCATCTCAAATGTCATCAACATGCGACAATGCGATTGGAATCCTGTAAATGATGGACTTTGCCCTCCATTCAATCTCTGTCTAGACTCGTCTAGAGTTGGGAATAAATTCTTTTTGAATGTTAAAACACAAACTTGTATCTGAAATAAGATGATCAGGTGATCGCGGCGCTGACAATGGCACTGCGGAAATAATATCCGATATTATCCATATTCAAATCTCCTCATCCGAATTCCCTGCGATGGATGCGTCGTACCGCGCCGGCCCTGACTCACCTATACAAATGGAAATTTTCACCTACAAAGGCCGTCAATCCCGTGCCGCCGTCTGAATGAATTTGTCGTTTTACAGAAACAATACAAAGAAAAGACTTTTATTTCAGAGAATTCATTTTATATAAATATTCTTTCAAGGATGTTTTTTCCATCGGGAGAAATGGAAATTCGAATCTTTGTAACGAGCTCATGACATAAAATTGTGAATAAAAAGAATGAAAGAGGCACGAGGAGGAACCGGGATGATGAAATGATCGCTGCTTGTGCAGAAAAATATGTGCTGGCGGTAATAATTAGGGAACGAATAAATAAATGAAATTACCAACCATAGTTTTCCTGGAAGCCATAGTGATCACTAATAAGATGAACTTAATTGTTCACGTGTAACAGCGCAAGGTCTCCTCTCACTGACGGAATTTCTGGGTTTCAACTGGAGCATTGGTGTTGTGACCAATCAGGAGACAGCTCTCCTGCTTGGTGCCCCTTTAATTTGTGAACCAACGCATTTAAACAATGCATCACTTATCCTTCAACTGAGCCCCCCTGTTGCAGTGCTTTCCTGTATCCCTGTGTTTCCTGCCTGCCTCCAGCCTCTAGGTATTCTGTGTCTCCAACTGTGCTCCCAGTCTCTGTGTCCTCTAGTGACACCAGTATGCCCAGTGACTCTCAGTGTGCTCCCAGTCCCTGTGTCTTCTAGTGACACCAGTATGCCCAGTGACTCTCAGTGTGCTCCCAGTCCCTGTGTCCTCTAGTGACACCAGTATGCCCAGTGACTCTCAGTGTGCTCCCAATCCCTGTGTCTTCTAGTGACACCAGTATGCCCAGTGACTCTCAGTGTGCTCCCAGTCCCTGTGTCCTCTAGTGACACCAGTATGCCCAGTGACTCTAAGTGTACTCCCAGTCCCTGTGTCTTCTAGTGACACCAGTATGCCCAGTGACTCTAAGTGTATTCCCAAGTGTGACACCAGTGCACCCAGTGACTCCAAGTGTGCCCTGTGTCTTCTAGTGACACCAGTATGCCTAGTGACTCCACGTGCACTCCCAATCCCTGTGTCTTCTATTGACACCAGTATCCCCAGTGACTCCAAGTGCGCTCCCAATCCCTGTGTCTTCTATTGACACCAGTGCACCCAATACCTCCAAGTGTGCTCCCATATCCCTGTGTCTTCTAGTGACACCTGTACACCCAGTGACTCCAAATGCGCTCCCAGTCCCTGTGTCTTCTAGTGACACCAGTATGTCCAGTGACTCCAAGTGTGCTCCCAATCCCTGTGTCTTCTAGTGACACCTGTACACCCAGTGACTCCAAATGCGCTCCCAGTCCCTGTGTCTTCTAGTGACACCAGTATGTCCAGTGATACTAAGTGTGCTCCCAGTCCACGTCTCTTTTAGTGACACCTGTAAGCCTGTTCCCAGTCACTCTAAATGTACTCCCAGTCCCTGTGTCTTCTAGTGAAAGTATTGTGTCCAGTGACTCCAAGTACATTTCCAGTCCCCATGTCTTCTAGTGATTCCAGTGCGCCCAGTGACTCCAAGCGCACTCCCAGTCCCTGTGGCTTCTAGTCACTCCAGTGTGCCCAGTGACTCCAAAGTATCTGTGAGTCCCTGTGTCTTCTAGTGACTCCAGTCAAGTGTACTCCATGTCCCCATATCATCTACTGACTCCAGTGTGCCCAGTGACTCCAAGGCTGTGCCCTGTAACTTAAAAATGCGTTCCCAGTCCCCATGTCATCTAGTATCTCCAAGTGTTCCCTATAGCACCAAGTGCACCCATATGGACTCCATATTATCTACTTGACTTCAAGTGTGCCCTGTTTGCCCCATGACTCCAAGTGCACTCCTGTGAGCCAAGTGTCTCCACGTGTGCCCCTGTACATCCTGTGTCATCTAGTAACTCCAAACGTAAAAATGTGTGCCCCCGTGTCTCCAAAGGTGCTCCATTCCCTGGCTTATCTAGTGTCTCCAAGTGCTCCCTGTGTGCCTTGTGACTCCAGGGGTGTCCCCCTGTGTCCCATATTATTTAGTGACTTCAAGTGCACCCCTGTGAACCCCATGTGTGCCCCGTGTTCTAGCACACCAGGTGTGGTCTAATGACTCCAAATCCACTTTCTTCCATTGTGTTGCTCTGCACCTGTGTCTTCATGCAGACCCAATATGCTCCGGCATCATCTGGATGGTCTCTCCCTCAGCAGATATGGACTGCTGTCCCCGACAACATTTAGGCTATATACATGTCAGTATACCATTCTGAGCACCACATTTGATGGTGCAGCTGATCGTTTTCTTAGGGTCCAAAGACCATTTTGTATGTGAGCCAACATTTCTTTTAATGTTTGGATGGTGTGGAATGGTCTGAGCTCCTATTGAGGTGAGCTTTACCCTCACTTCCTGTCTCAGAGACCTTGACATCAAAGGGTGTCACCAGGGCAGGATGTGAGAGAGAGTTTCCCCAACAAGGGCACATTATAACCTTCTTTGTTCACTTGTCCTTCACATGTGTAATCTCCTGAAATGTCTGCCATGGGGAACTCCATTACCCCATGCCAGATGAAAGCTGAAATCAGCCTGAAAGTGAATGGGCAGAAATCAGTGGTAGTTAGATAGGCTTGTAGGAGGGAGCTGAAAATGGACATGACCAGTGTGGTAATGTTCATCAGCATCCAACCAGCAACCAGAAGGTGGGGCAGTGACTGGAGTCTGGGAGTTTTGCATAGATTTGGGACAGTTAAACACTTTTGCCAAGTTTTTATTGACCCCCATTGGAGAGATTTTAACTAACTTCCTGTCCCTGTGACAACAGGACAAGAAAAGAGGGGAACAGTTGTCACTGTGACAGGAGATATAAACAACCCAAAGGCTCTACAGGTTATTTGTCCTATGAGAGGGCCGAGACTCAGGCCATACCTGCTTCCGGGAGGACAATGCCCCTCTGGGCCGACTGCGATTGTTCATCTTGTTGCCATCAGCTTCGGCTGCATTCTTCTCTTTGGAGCTTTTCTCCCTCCATCTCTCTGTGGTGCTCTCGGGGTGGCTGGGGATTGGGCTAAGAAATAAGATTCTTCCGATAAGCCCGTACAGGATGGTGGCCACGAACAGCGGGATCACATAGAAAATGGCAAAGTCCGTCAAATAAATGGGCAGGTAGAGGTTCCGGGAGACCTTGTAGCCACACTCCACTTGTTGGGTTTTGTTCACTTGAATGTCAACCAGGAAAAACCACATCATGCAGTAGATACAAGTGAACACCCAAACGATGGCGATGATGCGCTTGGCGCGGGACACGGTGCACACTGTCTGGGCTTTCATTGGGTGGCAGATGGCGATGTATCTGTAACAGAAAAAATAGCATCAGAGTGTTGTAGTCCATTAGCGGTAAGTTTGGAGGGAGCAATAGTACATATATCTCACATCTCTGACCTAAGTCTCAATGATGTTGTGTCCCGGGCCTTGTCTTGGGATCACAGTGCCAACCTTACTTGAGTTACTGGGCATGTGCAGTACCTCAGTAGGTCCTTTATTATAATGATTGGGGGTCCCAAGTGGGCAGGCCCTGCATAATTAGAGACAGGGTTTGGGTGGCCCAGTCTGGTAAGTTGGGTCTGGATAGGACTGTCTGTTCACTGGGTGGGCCTGTAGGTGGGGTTAACTGTGTCCTGGGGACCAGGATGGAAATGCTGACAGGCTCGCAGGTTACACTTATCTTACCATGTCTCCCCTCCAATCCATTCACCAGGTATAGGGATCACATGACTCACACAGTTACCCAGCATTGAGTGCAATTGAGAGTTCTCATTTTCCTACAATTTTGGCCAAAAATCAAGACATTTTTGCAAAAATTCTCAATTTTGGCAAAATGGTTTGAAGTCAATGGCTAAGGCTTTTTATTGCACACTTTTTAACTCTTACACATTCATCTACCAGGCAAACATTGTCCAGAATATTATTTGTGTGATAACTGTGCCCTAGCACTTACAAATTTAAAAACTTCACTGACCCTGGCTCCAGGTCCCTGGGCACAGCCTCCCTGAACTTCCTGTCCAAGTCACAAGGGACAGCACAATCTTCAGCAGCTGTCCATCAGCACCTTGGAAGAGGCGGGAGGAGGAGCGTGGCCTACCATCTTAAGGCTCCAGGTTGTGGGTTGGAGTTAACGTACACATAGCTGACTCTAGTCCTGGCCAAGAATGGCTCCATAGGACCCTGCAAGGGAAAGGAGCCACCCTGAAACTAGGAGGGGGCTAGGGCTGAATCAAGGGAAAATCCGGTGAATCAAGGGAGAAGGGACATTTCACAAATTAAGAAGTAGCATTTGTGTATTAGTATAATTATTATACCGTATTTATATAGCGCTAAAAGGTTTGCTCAGCGCTGTACATTATAGTGGGGGACAGAACATGAGACAATACAGTAACAAAACAATACACGAGGGGGTCAAGGGCCCTGCTCTTTCGAGCTTACAATCTAGGAGGGAGGGGATAGTGGTACAGGAGGAAGTGGCTGTGGGGGATGGAGTGGTAGGAGGAGTGGAGGAGATCGGCTGTTGGGTGAGGGGTGGGGTAGACTTCCCTGAAGAGATGGGTTTTCAGGGTGCGCCTAAAGGTAAGGAGGGTAGGTGACAGTCTGATGGATTGGGGTAGCGAGTTCCAGAAGATGGGGGAAGTCCCGGAGAAGTCCTGCAGCTTTATTTGTAAAGCTTTATTTGTGTAAAGTTTTATTTGCACCAGCATTCAGGGATGGATAGCAAATTCCTGCAGCAGGTATGACACGAGTTTGGGGAACAAAAGCCCCTAGAAAGCAGTGAAAGGCTGACAGGGGCTACAGCTGTCTGCCACAATTCATTAGTATTTGCACTTCCAGCGGTGGCCTGCAATCAGAAATAGGGGACTAGCCCTGCACATAGACAGATTGCAGGACTGATCACCTGTCCCTAACTGCAGGCAACTGCAGGGGACACCTGTTTTGTTGACAACAGTCTTAGATGGGATTTCTCCTCACTTTTGTGAGACTTCCTTTTACATCATGCACACAGGCGCTTTGGTCCATACAGCATAGCAACTGGTCATTTTTGGGCGCCTTGGAGTCAAAAGTGTAGCGTACAGCACCCTGCCAGCAGTCTGTCAAAATCAAAGATTGATATACTGTACACTATATTGCCAAAATATTGGTCGGCCGTCCTTTACACACACATGAACTTTAATGGACTCCCAGTCTTAGTCCGTAGGGTTCAATATTGAGTTGGCCCCGCCCTTTGCAGCTATAACAGCTTCAACTCTTCTGGGAAGGCCGTCCACAAGGTTTAGGAGGGTGTCTATGGGAAGGTTGGACCATTCTTCCAGAAGAGCATTTGTGAGGTCAGGCACTGATCGGGGGAGGAGGCCTGGCTCACAGTCTCCGCTCTACTTCAGCCCAAAGGTGTTCTACCTCTGTTGAGGTCAGGACTCTGTGCAGGTCAGTTAAGTTCCTCCACCCCAAACTCGCTCTTCCATGTCTTTATGGACCTTGCTTTGTGCACTGGTACGCAGTCATGTTGGAACAGCAAGGGGCCATCCCCAAACTCTTCCCACAAAGTTGGGAGCATGAAATTGTCCAAAATATCTTGGTATGCTGACGCCTTAAGAGTTCCCTTCACTGGAACTAGGGGGCCAAGCCCAGTCCCTGAAAAACAACCCCACACCATAATCCTCCCTCCATCAAACCTCACACTTGGCGCAATGCAGTCAGGCAAGTACCGTTCTCCTGGCAACCACCAAACCCACACACATCCATTGGATTGCCAAACAGAGAAGTGTGATTGGTCACTCCAGAGAACACGTCTCCACTGCTCTAGAGTCCAGTGGCGGCGTGCTTTACACCACTGCATCCGACGCTTTGCATTGCACTTGGTGATGTAAGGTTTGGATGCAGCTGCTCGGCCATGGAAACCCATTCCATGAAGCTCTCTACGCACTGTTGTTGCGCTAATCCAGTGTTTCTCAATTCCAGTCCTCATAGACCCCCAACAGGTCATGTTTTCAGGATTAACATTATTTTGCACAGGTGATTTGATCAGTTTCACTGCCTTAGTAATTACCACAGCTGTTTCATCTGAGGGAAATCCTGAAAACATGACCTGCTGGGGGTCCATGAGGACTGGAGTTGAGAAAAACACTGCGCTAATCTAAAGGCCACATGAAGTTTGGAGGTCTTTAGTTATTGACTCTGCAGACAGTTGGTGACTTCTGCGCACTGTGCGCTTCAGCATGCTCTGACCCCGCTCTGTCATGGACGTGGCTTACCACTTGGTGGCTGAGTTGCTGTTGTGCCCAGTTGCTTCCACTTTGTTATAATCCCACTAACAGTTGAGCGTGGAATATTTAGTAGCCAGGAAATGTCACGGATGGACTTATTGCACAGATGGCCACCTATCACAGTACCACGCTTGGAGTCACTGAGCTCCTGAGAGCGACCCATTCTTTCACCAATGTTTGTAGAAGCAGTCTGCATGCCTAGGGGCTTGATTGTATACACCTGGTGCCATAGAGGTAGAGTTAGATATAGTTTAAAATGGTTGTTAACCCTTACATGCACCCAGTGAAGTGATTGGTCTTAGGTGATACACAGAGATGAAACAAATCCTCCTGCACAAGTTGTACCTGTTTATCTATAGACGTTTTTGCCCTACGTCCGCTCAAAGTGCAGAATTTACACAGGATCTCTCAGCTCTGAAAAGCAGGGTGTAGGCATCTGCAGTTACATCAGTGAGGAGAGCTGATTGGAGGAAAGGGACACCCCCCCTCCACACAGCTCACAGGAACAGAGCTGAATCTGTCAATCTGATGGAGGTCCCTCCCCGTCACCATTTTTCTCTTGGTGTCAGGAACACTTCTCAAAAGTGATTCATGTTGATATCAGAGGAACAAGGCAGCAGAAAGAAGTGACAAATAGTGCTCTTAATTGAGAGACATACACACTATAGAAGGATATGCTTTGTTCATATTTCATGTCTGAGATTTACAACCACTTTAAGGTAGATCAAAGGGCAATACACAAGAAATGTCCCTACAGAATTAAACAAGAATTCCAGGTATGGATATTATTGTGGCACCCTCTAGTGTGCTACTAGAATAGTGTAGAGTATTATAGGTAAAATTATTGTGTATGACTCATGATAGTTGTGTGAGTCATGTGATTGAAGTCGGGTTATTGCAGGTCAGCTGAATGGCTCAACAGGTTGTGGCTCTATCGCCACTTCTTGACTCTGGAGGACCACAGAACCTTCCGAAAGTCGGTAAGAAGGAAGGGGTGGAGGCCTAATCTGCATATTCATGGGGGTCCGGTTATTCCTAGGTTTGGAGGCCCTGGTAGAGTGGTGGACTGGCCTATAAGTATGGGAGAGTCAGGCTGACAGAGGAGTCGGGTGGAAGATGAAGTACTGAGGAGGCTGTTAGCTCCTAGGAGGGGTCCCCTAGGTCTGGGGGGGGCTGGACTCAGGCTGGCTCAGGAGGATACATTCTGTGGAGAGGAGCAGATGGGATCAGGGCCTGGAGCAGTAGGGAGCAAAGAGGACAGTGTCAGTACAGCAGCACTCTTTGGGATCTACAAGGGGAAAGACTGCCACACGTAGCAGCTTTCTAAGGACAGCACTGAGCTCAATCCTTTATCATTGTCCCAGACGATCTTCCGAGAAGCCAGGAGGGCTGGTAGTGCTTGCAGGCTGTGGGGCTGGGAGCAGCGCTGTAGGGGGAGAAAAGATGTCTCTGCATGAGGCTACGAGAAGTAAAGTGATTTGAGGGGCTGCTAGTTCCTCGCCAGTAAAGGGCAGCTGCTACTGATCTGCAATGACTGACGGCTTTCAGGAAAAGAACAGTCCAGGATCTGCTTTTGTACATAGAAGGGAAGTGTCCCCCTTCCATTGATTCAAGCCAAACTGGGCATCCCATTATCCCTATTTCGCTATCCAAGTTGAATTCTCTAATGAAACAACAAAACCAATCCCTTGGACTGGTCATTGTCTTTGGATGCCAGTCTGTGTGAAAAATACCTGTTGCCTGGCTGTGCAGAGGGAAGCCTAGGGATACCCACGACACAGCGGACCTTACGAGGGTAGCACTACATTATTATATAATTACATTCTTCCAGTATGCACCATTGTAACTATTTATGTGCTACACCTGTGTGATCCCTCTAGAACAGCAATGGGCAAAACTACGGCCCGCGGGCCGTATACGGCCCGGCGGACCTTTTAATCCGGCCCGCGGAGCTAGGCTCCCCGCAAGGCCAGTGGTCGGCAAGCCGCGGCTCTTTACAAATTTAGATGCGGCTCTCCTGTGTGCCGGGCGCCCGCTCCCC